CACAATGGCTACGTATACACGGATAATGTACACTTGTTTTCAATGTGGAACAAAAACGAATCGGTTGGGAGACCATATCCGTGTAAACATGGTACACTCCGTAAGGCAGCACAAGAAAAGGTAAGTAGTGTGTTGACAGATGCGTGAACCCCGATTAATCGGGTTAGATGCCAGCTGTTGTTATTAGTATTATTTGCAAGTGTAGTGTATCCTTTCCGTCCAAAACTGTAATCGTTTTCAACTTTCAAGTTCCTTCTATGAACCATGCCTCCCCGTAGAAGGACCCGTCGTGCTGCGAGCGCAGAGCCCGCACGATTGCAGGACGACGTACAGCAGGACGAGGTACACGTGGCTGTGGCGCGCCTGGAGGAGCAGGTCACCCGTATCAGCCTGCTCGAGGCCCAAATCGAGCTGGAAAGGGCCAGGGCAACCCCGGATTCGCCACGCGACAGAGGTCGCAGACAGAGACGCTCTCGGTCATCATCGTCGTCCCCATCATCGTCAAGTTTTGGTAGTTTATCATGTTCACCCAGCCCCAAGAGATGGAGATCCAAAAAATTTAAAAAATCAAAAAAAACTCCAAGAAGGCTCGCCGTCACCAACATCGCTCTCGTGCTCGCGCCACCTCAACGGGCCCCAGCAAGTGGAGGAACGTGGCATATGGACATCAACACGTCGTAAATGCCCGGCTCCAGGAGCGCCTGGACAAGGTGTGGAGGGCGCTGAGGTCGTACCCGCTGAAAAGCACTACAAGGCACCTGAGAAAAGGTGAGACTATTTTGGACAACAGGAAGGAGTGGCTCGCTGTCGCCGATGCCCACGGGGTAGAGGTGGCAAATAAGTTTGTGGAAGGGGGGGGGGGGGGATGACTCATGATGCGTATCATGGTATGTCATAATGCGTATAAAAGCACTAGCGCGGTCGTTCATACTCTCTATATTCAGAGATTCCGATTCAGGTTGAAAGCTCTGACAAAGATATGGATACGCAGATTGAGTCAACTTCTAGTCAAGTACCCTTGAGTGTGACACACACACAAAGGGTGTACGAAGCATTTAAGAAAAAGAATAAGTTAGCTAAGAAGAAATTGGAGGCGGCTCTTGAGAGGCAGTTACGAGCTGATCAAGACGTAAACGCACTCAAGCTGGAAGTGGGTGCGCTCGAAGAAGATAGGACCATCGCAAAATCCAACTACATGATCGCTTTATCTCAGGATCGGGATGAAGATGGGATTGATCTTCGCTAGATGTGATACCATAACATCATGACATCATCGTATGACTCATGATGCGATAGATAAGAACATCCACGAACCACAGCGAACATCCACGAACCACAGCAAACAACCACAAACCACAGCGAACAACCGCGAACCACAGCGAACATCCACGAACCACAGCGAACATCCACGAACCACAGCGAACATCCACGAACCACAGCGAACATCCACGAACCACAGCGAACATCCACGAACAACCACGAACCGCCCATTAACATAGTACTAGTATATAGTCAAATATGGATTTAGATGTACATGTACATGAGTAAGGTCAACACCCTAGACAACCGTATATACATGATGTAGTAATACACTGTACCCAGGTGGTTGTGTATACAGTAGTAATATACATGATGTAGTAGTAATACACTGTACCCAGGTGGTTGTGTGGTTCATGGGGTAGGTCTACGCATGTTCGCGGTATAGATTATGTTAGCACACGAAGAGACGAAGCTAGTTGAAAATCTGATGAGGCCTTTCGTACCATTACTCTTCAAAATCAGTACATGGTGATAATGTGATGAAGCACAACAATGTCAATTTATACAGCATATTGGCGGAAAAGTTGTGATGAAACGTACACAGGCTGAATGATAGTGTGAGTTGCGCCAAAGAGTACACGCACTATAACAGGGAGGTGGGAAGTCAAAATAGCACTAGCTTCCTAACAAACTCCTTCTGTCTACACCGCTCAGGCTGTAGCTTGGCAATGTAAACAGCCTCCAAGCCTCCAAAACTCCAATCGTGCTATTCTACGGCTACCATGGCTAGGTGACTCATCCCTTGAAATCAAAAAGAAAGTCCTCGATCTAGTGCAGCGCTTTGTTCCTCTTTGTTCTCCTATATGTTGCTTCATCACCAGGAAATTATTCCAAACGACCAACAAGGATGCCTTGCCGATGACTAATATTAGCAAAATTATATCTATTTACCTGTGAGTGTGGCCACAGGTACATCGGCAAGGCAACCCAATGCCTAGGTGATCGCACGTCGCAGCATATTCCGCCAAGACTAGTCATGGCCGCAACACCAGGCGTCGACTACGTCAAACCCAGAAGAGGAAGACCGCCCAAACAGAAGGCACTGGCAACAGCCCTGACAAAGCCAACTATCGCCGCTTCACCCATCATACAGTGTGTCGGTTCCAAGAAGGTGCAGACAACAACCAGCGCTCGCCGTAGTACTCGGCTACTACAACAGCGCCAAGTTACACGGACACCGACCAGGAGCCCATCGGATCAGGTAGCGCAGACCAACCCTATCCCGAGTAAGTGTGAACCCAACCAGCGTGATTCACACAACCCATCAGCTGTGAAAAATGATTCTGCAATAACCGCACATCTATCAGCTGTGAAAAATGATTCTGCAATAACCACACATCTTATCATGTCCCCTTCTTGCCTGAATGCAGTACGTAAGAATGTTCCAGAGCACTTCAAGATTCACGCGCGGGCGCGCAGCAAATGTCACCTAGATGTGCTAGAGGCTGTTTACATTGCCAAGCTACAGCCTGAGCTGTGTAGACAGAAGGAGTTTGTTAGGAAGCTAGTGCTATTTTGACTTCCCACCTCCCTGTTATAGTGCGTGTACTCTTTAGCGCAACTCACACTATCATTCAGCCTGTGTATGTTTCATCACAATTTTTCCACCAATATGCTGTATAAATTGACATCGTTGTGCTTCATCACATTATCACCATGTACTGATTTTGAAGAGTAATGGTACGAAAGGCCTCATCAGATTTTCAACTAGCTTCGTCTCTTCGTGTTCTAATATGTTTCCCTCCGACTAAGTCTCTATATAGATTATGTCATACTATAATGAGGTGTGCTTCGAGCAAGGAATGTTGCTCAGCTCGTCAGTGTCACGTGGTCGCCCGGATTCCCCAAAAATGGGAAATCTGGGCATTTCAGGGGAATCTGCCCAGATTCCCCACAAAATGGGAGATCTGGTCAGATTGACCCAATGAACAAAAATCCCAATGGGAGCCATCACAAATCACAAAAGGTTGAAATGCTAGGCATGCGCATTGATCTCAAAGAGGGGCAATTTTTTGCGACAGAGCGCGGAGTGGCGAGGCTTAACCCTTATCCGACCGGGTAGTCAAAAATCGACGACTATCCGTCGATGACGTTAACAAGCTGTAACTCACTTACTTTTGATCGAATCTGCACCATTTTGGTCTCAAAAGAAGCAGGAAAGACCCACCATTTAATTGCAAAAGACCGGAGCGTCTTAGCATGTTCCAAAAAGAAGTTATAAGTCTCTGAATGTCTGTTTTCACACCGCGTACGAAGCAATTTCCCAAATGGTGTAACTTTGGCAATGATTATGTTGCCCTCCTAAAACTTTGCCTGGAGGCCTCCTTGATGGTATTTTCCAAATGTGTTAGCATGAAAGTACAAATTTAAGACTACAAATCGTTTATGAGCTGTGCTTCTCTTAAAAAAATGGACTTGGAGATGGATTTTTGTTCCTCTTACAAATGAAGGCTAGAAACTGTTTCTAGAGAACTCCTCACGGCTCAAGCTCTCCAAAAAGCCCAAGATTGCAATTACATGTATCACCCAAGAGAAACTAAAGTTACCATTAAAATGGGCCGTGGCATCTCGCTGGGACTGAGAATTTGTCCACTTTGACGGTCGGATAAGGGTTAAAGAGTGTGTAGCCCGTTTGAGCGGTCTAGCAGCGCCACCCGCGAGGGAAGTGGCGAGGTTAGCCGACTTCTTGTTGTCTATGTCGCTTGCGCTTGGTCCAATTTGCCATCTGCGCGAGGGCATTCTACAGCATGATATTGTCTAAGAGTTCTTGGTACGCGCCAGTGAAATCGCCAGATGCGCCGAGGTGCGACTTGGAATTTTGGAGCACGGTATTTGAAGACTGGCACGGCCAACCATTTTGGAAAAACTGCCCAAAGGCAACGGTCCTGACCTGGTGCGATGCGAGCGACTCTGGTTGGGGCGGATTTTTAGTAAATGGCAGCGCAGTCGAGGTAGCCAGAGGAGAGTGGTCCAATGAGATTTTGCATGGCCAAAGAAGCTCCAGGTGGAGAGAATTGAGAGCTTGAATCACTAGAACACAAACTAGAAGGAGGTACCTGCATTCACAGAAGCGACAATCAGGCAGCTGTGCACATTATCCAGGTTGGCAGCAGAAGGGAGCTTTTTCAACGGGACGCCATGCGAATCCTCCACGTGTGCATGAAGCACGGAATCTGCCTGGTTGCCGAATGCGTGCCCAGAGAACAAAATGAACTGGTAGACTATTATTCGAAAATAGTTGGCACAGATGATTGGCGGCTGAGCCCAGCTGTTTTTGAACAAATCGACTCGCTGTTGCTGCTGTCCCCGCAGAAGAGGTTGATTGTTGTAGTTGTGTGTGTGGGTGTGCGTGTGAGTGAGGTGTGTTAGGGGTGTGAGCATGTATGGTGTGGCTGCACACAGGAGTGAGAAAGAGAGTAAAACAGAAAGAAGGATTCACTTACTTTGTTGCTGTATCCAGCGCTGCGAGGAGCGACAATGAAACAATGTTCACGGCTACGCTGGGGAGAGGATTCGCAGTGTTTCCACTGTCACTGTCACCGCCACTTCTTCCGTCATCGGCATTGCTGACTGTGCTGCTACTGACATCAGTGCTATCAACAGTGGTCTCTGCAGCGGTGGTGGTGGTGGTGGTGTTGGTGGTGGCGGCTTGTGGTGTGGTCGGTGCTGCAGCTCTTGTG